TTTTTTTTAATCTCTGCTCCCGGGAACAGAAATGGATAGAAAACTAGTTTGGTAAAATCAGTTTATTTTTTTGTTCCCGGGATGGACCAGTTTATTTTTTGTGCTGAGGAACATAAAAAAGAATCAAATGTTTTTGCTTTTTTTATCCTGGGCACCAAAATGAGAAACATTTATCGCTCTTAATTACTCTCCACCAGTACCATTATCACCACCGCCACCTGTAACACCCCGTATATATCCGATAATGTTATCATACTATCGTATTAAGTTGCGCTTAATTAAAAATGCGGAATATCTTTTTCTTTTCAATTATGATGTCATTAATCATTACCGACCTAATTACTTAACCATTTTCAAAACATCACCTGTATGTATATTGCAATAAACAGCTAACTGGAATACCTCATCAATTAATTAACATAAGTATGTCTCTAGTCACGGAACTACCACACGTAGACCGGACTCACTAACAGTTTATACAACTCAACTCAAAAGCACTAACAACATGGTGGCATGGACACCTCTCATGCTCACCCCAAATAAGGCAACAAAGCCCACATAAGTCTCAACTCAACAGCAACATAATGATAAAGGCGGAAAACATAAACAACATCCAATTCAGCCATGCCAGCATATAACATATAACAGCAATAATCATCAACTAAGCTCTGGCCTCCTGCCGCCAGAGACATCAGTCCCCATACTATCTGAACCTGAAATAAGTATTCCCCAAACGTGGGGTGAGATCTCTAAACAAGAAATCTTAGTAAGACAAGGGGTCGTCAAGGATCTTCCACCACAAGCTCACTTACATGTGCAATATAAGTTCAAAAGCAGTTTATCATCATCAGTTCTAAAATAGTGCAATGCAGCAGATAATCATGTCATGTGTGTCAATTCTATTCTACTGGCTAGAGAAATGCAGGATTTATATACGTCTAATACCCACAAATAGTGCAAGATGCTACTTGCATCCACCCCGGATCACCGTCTTGTATGACGCCACATACTCAGATTTACCGTCAAGATGGAACAACACGTGCATATTAAAAGCCATTGCACATAAAACTCAACAGCATTTCAAATATCCAAAGCATGTAACACAGCATGCATATAACCATACCCCCATGGGACATGGTGGAACCACAACATGGCTAAACCGAGGACACGAAAGCTTACCTCTTAAGCAATCAATCCAAGTCAAGTCCACACAAGCTCAATGTCCAAACACAACAGATCACAATCTGATTTAGGACCAGCAAGCATATCAACATTCGTAGCTCAAAAGCATAAACATAAAGACTACGTTTTTCCTTTTACGTTTTACGTCTTAAGACTTCCCATAAAGCCATAAGCCCTTAATCCCTTGATTTTGACTTAGTTAAATAATTACAAAAGTTCAACTTCATCAATCCAGGGTCCACAAACCCCCAATAGCCTACTGTATGAACAATACAGCTACTGTTCTTCGAAATCCCAGAATATCCGGATATATGTTGGAAGAATATCCGGATATCAATATCCGGATATCTCACTGGCAATATCCGGATATCAATATCCGAATATGCAGATCCCCATATCTGGATATCAATATCCGAATATCCATATCCGGATATCAATATCCGAATATTTATCGACCAAATATCCGGATATTTCGCGACAGAATGCAGTTTCTGCATTTCGCGAAGATATCCAACAAAGGTCCAACTTTTACCAATTAAATGCGTTTAAGACTCCATTTTTAGGTCTATACAGGTTCATACACATGTTAGTTACTTGCTTAACCCATTTACATGCAAAGACACCACCTTTAAATCATTTAAACTCATGATCAAGGTTAGGCAACTCACCAAAGCTTCAAACTCAGAAACGGAAGGCTCTTGGAACTCACAACCAACTCCAAAGGTTCTGACTTGGTCCCAAAACGATAATGACAACACAAGCTTGGACCTTTCAACACAAAGGAAGCTCCTTGAAGCTTCACAAGCCAAGAACAAGATGACTCTCACCCAACTCTCAAACTCAGCATAAGAACCTCACACACAGCAGCTTAGAATCTTAGAAAAGGCTACCTATCACCCTCACAAAGCCACCCACAAGTGTTTAGAAGGAGGAAATGTGAAGGAAAATCAAGAAAGATAGCAACTTGGTCTCAAAATGGAGAAGAGAACCCAAAGACAAGGCACCAGCTGACCAGCCTCCAAGCACTCACGTAGGATAATGTTATGGCCTAGGGTTTAGTGCCCAAAATAAGTATTTATAGTAACTTAACCATAAAACACACAATATTAACTTTAAATGCTACGCTTAGCATTTTAATCCCAAACTCAGGATTCTTAACCTACTCAATTTTACAAGAATTATGATATTTTTCTTATATTTTTCAGAGCACATTTCTGGTACGTGCTTTTCATAGCCAGTACCAGATTCTGGCACCAGTTCTCGTTATTTTAACTTGAAACTCGTTTTACAAGTCCTATATATTATTCTAGTAATATTCATTCACTTATTATAATTTTTCGGGATACTTTTTCGGTATGCATTTATACCAACTAGCAGAACCGGTATCTGCATTTTTCGTCCGAAAAGCGACTTTCAACATTATTACTCACTTACTATAATTATTAAAGCCTCATAATAATTATTAGGGTCAATTATGGAATTATTTCCTAATTTCATATAATTAAATAATTAACTTCCTTAATTAACGGTGCGAGTTCTTACACCACCACCATCCCGACACGACCACCAGCCCTCCGCCACCACCTTCTCGTCACCACCACCGTCATTACCACCACCACCACCACCACCACCACCACTACTACCATCACCGTCACCACCATTATCACTACCATCGTTACCAACCACCACCACCATCATAATAACCACTGCCATCACCACCACCACTACTCCCATCATCGCCGCTGCTGCCACCACCATTATCGCCACCACTGCGACCATGTCATCTCCATCACCATCGTCGTAGACACTGTTGTCACCACCTTTACCACCATCGCCGCCGCCACCACTACCATTATCATGTCACTACCACCGCCACGCCACCATTATACCACCGCCATCGCCACGTCATCATCATTACCATCGTCGCAGCCACTGCGGTCACCACCACCACCACCACGTCACCATTACCACCACTGCCGCTCCACCACTACCATTATCACGCCATTGCCACCGCCACCATGTCGTCACCATCACCACCACTACTGCCATCACGACCATGCCACAACCATCGCCACCATCACTGCGGCCAGTACTGTCACCACCACCACATCTATGTCACTGCCACTATCATCATCATCACCACCACCATTATCTCTACCATCACTGTCATCAACAACACCACCATCGCCGCAGCTACTACCGTTACCACCATGCCACCATTACCACCACTGTCGCTGTCTCTATTATCGCCGCCGCCGCCGCTACCATGCCATCACCACTATTGTCACTGTCGCCACCACCATGCCATCACCTCCATCACCTCCACCACCACCACCACCACCATGACGCCACCGCTACCTCCACCACCACGACAACGCCATTACTGCAACCACCACCACCACTGCCGCCGCCGTCGCCATCACCACCACACTATGTGAAAAGGAAAGTGATGATCCAAAATTTTTTTATGCTTAATAGGAATGATTTTTGATTTTATTATTTGTTGTGTTATCAAACGCAATTCTCATCCTCAGAATATGTTATCAATCACATTTTTTTCCTCAGAAATTGTTTCAAGGCACAGAAATAGAAAAGAATTATTTCTTTCATAAATAGTGTCAGGGAACAGAATGGTTGCCATGCACACCCTAACCTATATATATATATATATTGTGTGTATCCTCTTAAATGACACAAATTTAGGTCCTTTTAAGAGATATGAATAAATCATGAAAGAGAGAGAGTGAGATTTTCTCTCTCTCTATCTCTTTTATGATCTATCTCTATCCCTCTCTTAAGGACCATATTTTAAAATGACATGTTTTTTCACACACACACACACACAAATATATATATCGCGAAAGCAATAAATGTGGGGAATCATAACTATGCAAAAGATGAAAGTATTAAATATGGGAAATCATAACCATAAAAAAGATGAAAGCATTAAATGTGAGAAATCATAACCATACACCTGTCATTGTTGTACGTAAAGAAGCAGTAGAAATGATCTTACTGTATATATATGGCAAATATTTGATTGATGCACGTACAACAGCTGCAGATATGTATATATATATATATATATATATATATATATATATATATATAGAGGTAGGATATTCTTACACCAATGTAAGAGTTAGAAGTCTTACACTCAATCTTGATCATTGATCCCACTTGTATCTAATGGCTCACATTACTAAAAAATTAGAGCCCTTAGATATAAGTGGGATCAATGGTCAAGATTAAGAGTGTCACTTACATTGATGTAAATTGATCCCGACCCATATATATATATTGGGATAGGACGTTAGATCAAAATAAATATAAAATTTTAAATATGAGGAATCATAACCATACAAAGATAGAAATAAATATAACCGTTAGATCAACATAATTGATCTAACGGTAAAATTGATTGGTAGTAATATTGGTAGTAACACTAGTTGGTTGAGTGGTTGTTAAAGACAAATCTTTTCTATAATTTATTACGAAAAAATTGTTTGTAATTTTAAAAGATATAAAATTGTGTTGTTTTAAATGAAACAATTGTACTTTAATATATATATTTGTTAGTTCTTTACCTTATCTTTTTCATTTCTCTCTTCTTCTAATTTTATGGAAGAAAAAAATATAAAAAACCAATAAATATAAATAAAAAAACACAATTATTTCATTCAAAATGATAAAGGTTGTGTAGAAATATTTTACCCAATTATTACAAAAACGAAGCAAATATCTAAGTAAAGAGTAAAGAAACTAGAGTCTTAAACCCTAATAGCTGGTTTGTTTCCCTCCACAAAAACCCCCCGAACCCCAAGCCTCTACTCTACTCTGTAGTTGCAGCTGCTATGCCCCCAACGCTGTTATCGCTGCAACTTCGTCTTCTCCCAATGAAGACCCACACTCTTCCCATTTTCTCTAGAACCTTCTTATCCCCCTTCAAGTTCAAATACCTCGCCCTTCGAAACCCACAGCTTCTTAAGCCAACGCGCCCTTTCTCCACCAGGGCCCACACGCGCAGTGATAATGTTCGTGGTTCCGCTTCCAAGAGTCTCATCGACGATGAGGCCGAACTCAGTGACTGGGTCGACGAGTTGCGCACCGGTCGACCCGAAAGGTTCGCCGAGCCGACTCAGAATTCCAGGGTTAGCCACGATAATAAAGACGAATTTAGGTCAAGGAGGAACAATAATAATAATAGTAATAGTAATAGGGGTTCTGTGTTGGGGAAGAGAAGGGGTGAGGATTTGAGTAGAGGAAGAAACAATGTTAATGCGGTGAGGAAGTTTCAACCGAGGAGTAATGTTGATGATGATGAAGATGATGATGATGATGATGACGTGGCGATGAGTGATTTTCTTAGTGAAGATGATGATGAAGAAGAAGGGAGTGAGGATGAGGAGATATTGAATAAGAGTAGAACTGCTTTGTTTGGTCAAAAAAAGAGCACTGAACCAACTCCAAGAGCTTCTTCACCTGGTGGATCTGATTCTTCTTATTTGAGTGACACCAGGTCTGTGTGTGTGCTTTTTCTTAATAAAGATTTCTTTTTTATTACTGGGTCTAGTTTCTTTGCCTTAAAGCTTGCACCTTTATCTGTCATTGTTGTATTCGGTCTTTTGACTATTGCATGCACTAGGCTAACTGTGTCTGGAATTACGAGCCTTGAAAGTTAACAAGCTGAAAGAAAGGAATGAGAGGGTGGTATGTGTTCAGCGTAGTGTTGTGTTTATGCTACACCCTGGATTGAACAATGACTGTATCTTTAATCTTTTTTATTAGCGCTTATATTGAGAAGATAAGCATATGGAACACTTGTTTTGCGTTCACCCACATGATATAAGTTAGCTTATTCTTATATGATTTGACTTCCATTCTTTTATTTATTTATTTATTTTTATCTTTTTCGGGGGTGTGGGGGAAGTTTGTATTGACACTATCTTCTTTGCATATCTAATTGATTAAGGTGTTGGATGAATAGGATTATGCAACTTTGCTTGCTGAGTTATTGTTGTTTCATGCTTTCTATAGAGTGAATTTGGAAATTGGTTGGGGAATTTGTGCATATTTTAAAGGTGGGCACATATTAGAAGCCCGATGTTTTGTATTTACACCTTTACAGAGGTGGATAAGAATATAACTAAAATATAGAGAAAGTTGAGCTTGAGCCTTGTGCAGTTGTGCTTATACATCCATGCTGCTCACCTTCCATAACTTTGATGTATTCTTGACCCTTCTTATCCTAGTTTACTACATTATATTGCTCTTGTATTCTGTATGTATGATTTTTAATATATGATGCCGCAGATTCGACCAATGTTCAGTCTCCCCACTTTCATTAAAAGGAGTCAAGGATGCTGGATATGAGAAAATGACTGTAGTGCAGGAGGCAACTCTTCCCCTCATTCTCAGAGGTTAGTCTTTTTTCTTGGCCATGGAGGATGGGGCAATCTTAGCTATAATGTAATTTTTATTGTTCTGCCTGTTTGTAAGAGATGTCATCTGATTCCAACATACCCTGTCACCTTTTTTTCCTCTTCCTTTTAGGATCCCGTTACTGTGGAGGTTGTAGTATTGGGTTCTATTATGTAACTATGTGAAGAATAAGTATTCAAAATTTTGGGCTATCCTAAATTGATATTTGATAATATTAAGCAAGAAAGCAGTGTATTCCTGCTTTGATTGATGTTATTCTTATATATCATGAGTTATCTATGATGGTGGCACTTACTTTGATTATCATTTCTAGGTAAGGATGTCCTTGCCAAGGCTAGAACAGGCACGGGAAAAACAGTAGCCTTTTTGGTAAGTCTCTCTCTTAATTTGTATTTGCCTGTGCATTAGTGGTTAATAGCCTATGTATCATTATCATTTTTCATCATAATTATTTTTTTGTGAGTGACAAATTAATGTAAAGTATAGTTGACACTTAAAGGGGCGAATCAGAGCAGTAGTAAAAGTGTTCTTTCATGACCGATGGGTTCGAATCCAAGAAACAACCTCTTTGCAATTATGCAAGGGTAAGGCTGCGTACAAGGATTATCTCCATCCCACACTCGCTAGTTGGGTTAAACGGGGAGTGATTTTTTTTTTTTATAGTTGACACTTAAGCTACCTTTGGAATAAGCAATATACTTAATTGGACCTCTCTACTTAATTCCTTTGGCTTCAAAGTTGGATGTTTTATCATGATATGGGCATTTCTGTTTCTGTTTTCTTGTTAGTTGTTTTTGTTTTCCAGGCACGGGGCCTGCTATAACCTTTATATTGGTTGAGCTTGTCTGCAGTGGAAGTATTAAAGAAAGTTGCATGTTGATCACCGAAATACCTTATAAAGAATTTAAAATATTAATTGAGCTTGTTTAACAAAAGAACAAAAAGAGAAGTCTACTTGAGCCTCAACATATCACAAATCTTTGAGATAGAAACTAATTGATTGTTTTATTGTACCTGAAGTAATTAATGAATAGTAATTTTGACTCTACTTATCTTTCAAGTGTTTTTATTTTAGCTTCCATCAATTGAAGTTGTTGCAAAGTCACCTTCAAGTGACCGTGATCAAAGGCGGCCACCAATTCTTGTTCTTGTCATATGCCCAACTCGAGAGCTTGCAAGTCAAGCTGCTGCAGAAGCCACTAAACTGCTGAAGTATCATCCTTCTATTGGTGTTCAAGTTGTGATTGGCGGGACAAGACTTGCTTTAGAACAGAAACGCATGCAAGCAAACCCTTGCCAGGTGAATTATTTTCTCATTGCCACCGTTGTTTTATTTTATGTAGATCCGTGTGCACTTCAATGATACTAATTATAAAGAATCAATTCAACCCAAAAGCTTAAGCTAAAAAAACTTAAGTTGTTGGGTGAGGTTACATTAATGATTTTATTTATCTCAACACGTCCCCTCACACGAGAGCCCACTGGGCTTGAAGAGTGGATGATGCACAGGCCCACCTACCTGTGCGAAGAAAGAAATTCCATTAGAAAGAAAGTGAGGGGCGGTGAGGATCGAACCCGGTACAATCAGGCTCTGATACTATGTAAAGAACCAATTTAACCCAAAAGCTGAAGCTATTGGGTGAGGCTACATTAATGATTTTATATATCTCAACACGCCCCTTCACACGAGAGCTCACTGGGCTTGAAGGGTGGACAATGCACAGGCCCACCTACCTGTGCAAAGAAAAAAATTCCACTAGAAATACAGTGGGGGGCGGTGAGGATCGAACCCGGTACACCGAGGCTCTGATAACATGTAAAGAACCAATTCAACCCAAAAGCTTAAGCTAAAAAAGCTTAAGCTATTGGGTGAGGTTACATTAATAATTTTATTTATCTCAACACCAATAATCAAAGTTTCTGAATATTTTGATTCATCTTATTGGGACTTGTGTGATGCAGCTATCACAAATTGTAGGATATGAGTTTTTTTCTTTTTTTTTCTTCTTCAATAAAACGCCTTAGAACTTATTTTCATCATAAGTTTTCTTAACCAATTTTGCATAAAGCGTCACCAAACAAGGAGAAAGCAAGTTTACAGATTTGAGGGTTTAAAAGTTTTTTAAGAAAATGACTCCATGAAGATCGCCTTTCTAAAGCCTGGAACATATAGCAGGCAAATTCCTGCGGTACACAAAGGTCCCCAACTTGTGACGGCAGAGATAAGAGTTGATTGTACATAGTCTTACCTTTATATTTTTGAAAGGAGGTTGCTTCCTAATAACCATCCAGTCACAAGTAGCAACCTTACCGTTGCTCCAAGGCTCGCCCACCTGGAAGTTGTAGCATCTTGATATATTAATTTGATTTAGGGCTTCTGATCTTTTATTTATTTGTCTTAAACAGTAATTATGCTATGATAATCTGTTTTCATGATCACCTTGGGCAAATCGTTATCTTATAGCAAACTAGTTTTGCAGACTGAACTTTATTTGTTTGCAAAATGTACAGATCCTTGTTGCTACACCTGGAAGGCTTAGAGATCATGTTGAGAATACTGCTGGTTTTGCAACTAGGCTGATGGGTGTGAAGGTTTTGGTGCTTGATGAAGCCGATCATTTGCTAGACATGGGATTTCGCAAAGATATTGAGAAGATAATTGCTGCAGTCCCTAAACAAAGACAAACACTTATGTTTTCTGCCACCATTCCAGAAGAGGTATGTCTTTCTTTCTTTCATATTTTCCATTTCCTTTTTTAGTGTGCGGCTGTATGTTTCTTGCTTTAGAAAAGATAGGAGTATCAGGCTTATTCTGGTATCATTATTGTTATGAAGGTGCGTCAAGTCTGTCATATTGCTCTGAGAAGGGATCATGAGTTTATCAATACAGTTAAAGAGGGGACCGAGGAGACACATTCACAGGTAATTATTTGTAATTTCATACTAATTACTATTGAGGTACTTACATGTGTATGCATATGTGTGAGGTAACGCATGTGCATATGCACTTGCCAGCATATAATGCCTTTTTGTGATCTTTATTTATGGGGTTTTGGACAATTTCAGGTCCGCCAGATGCATTTAGTTTCCCCGTTAGACAAGCATTTCTCTTTACTCTATGTTCTTCTGAAGGAGCACATTGCAGATGATGTTGACTATAAGGTAAGCTTTCTAATCTGCAACCAACTGTATTCTCTGTTTTTCTTTGTCCTTTCGCTTTGACACGTAACATGATTAACAAACAAGAAAATCATATTTTGGATTAGTCTATTGAAAATATGTAATGTGGCTATTGGTTTATCAGGTTCTTGTTTTCTGCACAACTGCTATGATCACAAGACTTGTTGCTGATCTTCTTGGTGAGTTGAAATTGAATGTGAGAGAAATCCATTCAAGAAAGCCTCAGAGTTATAGGACCAGAGTCTCTGAAGAATTTCGGAAGTCAAAGGGTCTCATCCTGGTTACTTCGGATGTATCTGCACGTGGAGTTGACTATCCAGATGTCACTCTTGTTGTACAGGTAATATATGCAAAATCCCTCCTCGCATCATTTCACTTTTGCTAGGCATCTTCCGAGACACACAAACATACATATTCAAGAAGTCATTACTGTAACTATTATAGCTATCAGCCCTTGTGAACCTTCCTAGCGGGTACCCGAGAATGGTTTACATGGATTTATGTCCTGATTATTTTACCTTTTGGCACCAATGACAATGCACGTTTAAAAGAATGCTCAATAAATTTGCTTTAAGTAAACGCCAGTATTGGAGAAAAGTTAAAACAAACTGGCTAATATATGATCAAGTATTAAGTAATTACTTTATGTTTTTAATTTTAATTGTCCTGTTTCCTCCATTTGTCAAATGGACAGGTTGGTTTACCATCTGATAGAGAACAGTATATACATCGATTGGGTAGAACAGGCCGAAGAGGGAAAGAAGGGCAGGGCATACTGCTACTGGCTCCTTGGGAAGAGTTTTTTTTATCTACCACAAAAGATTTGCCTATTCAGAAAGCTCCTGTACCTTCAGTTGATCTTGACACTCAGAAAAAGGTATTACTTGGACATGCAATGGAGACAAGTTTTTTATTTTCTTCTAATGCTTTAGCAAGTTTTTTATTATCTTTTAATGCTTTGGCAAGTTTTATAGAACAAATCAACTTGGATATATACCAACATTTTGGTGTTAACAGGTGGAAAGGGCTCTATCCCATGTGGAGATGAAGAATAAAGAAGCAGCATATCAGGCCTGGCTTGGTTACTACAATTCCAACAAGAAAGTGGGGCGAGACAAGCTGAGGCTAGTTGAGCTTGCAAACGAGTTCAGTAGAAGCATGGGGCTTGATAACCCTCCAGCTATTCCTAAGCTAGTCCTTGGGAAGATGGGCCTTAGAAACATCCCTGGTTTACGTTCCAAATAGCTTATTTATTCGATTCAATTTCTGATAACTCATGTAAAAGATAAAATTTTCTTGAGTTAAAATCCTCCCTTATAATTTAATTTGAAGACTTGAAGCATCTAAATTTCGATTATATATATCGCCAACTTTTGTTTATCTTCTACTATAACGAACTCTGATTCCCTGGCAATTGTAGTTCCACATGAATTATCATTCAACAAAATGTAGTGCTGGTTCAATTTTGTTATGTAATTCACTATGCACTAATAAAAAATTAGCGAAACTTATATAAGAAATGTTCACTTTGGTCATTCAATATTTTTTTTAAATACTATTAATTACTTATCTAATGAATCAGAAAATATAAAACGAATAGTGTTATATGCATTTTATTATGGCTTTAATATTTCTACAGTGAATGTAGATAAGTTATCTATATTCACTCTCAAAATGACGTCGTTTTGGATTAAAAGATTAAAAAATTATAATGATAAAGATTATTATAACCCTAAAATAAATTATAATTATAAAAATATTTTGATTTTCTTCCTAAAATAATGTCATTTTAGATTCAATATAGATAACTTATCTACATTGATTGCAGAAAAATGAACCTTTTTATTATTCATTTAAAGATTTAAAGATGGGGCTTCGCCCCTTAATGTTATCAAAAAAAAAAAAAAAAATTTAAAGATAAAATCAGTGTTTCACCGGACGCCACCATTATTGTTGGGGTTGGAAATGAATTAGTCAACTTGTAAGCCTACCTAAAGTCACAAGGTTTGATCTAGTAGTGAAGGGTTTGGATAGATTGTATGTTTAATTTCCATTTGTATAAAAAAGAAAGAAAAAATTTGTAAGCCTACGTAAAGCATGATTAGTTAATAACTTGATGAGTTAAAATAATTGTGCCTCGTTTATAAATAAACGAATTTGAAATTTCACATGTCATTTTATTGTAAGCAAACTCGATATATAAATATATAGGTATTTTTAACCACTAGGCACATGAATCATTTGGTATGGAATTATTCTAACTCAATTAGAAAGAGTTTTGCCACCTTTATGACCTTATCCGTCTCAAATTAGATTAGTCAACTAATCAATCAAAATATATTGAATTTTTTAAGGATAGGATTAACTTACACCAGTGTAAGAATAATAAATTTTACGTCAAATCTTAATCGTTGATTTTCGTATATCTAATGGTTGATATTTATTGAAAATTAATAATTAATTAATAAGTGGGATACAATAAATCTTAACCGTTAGATACATGAAAATCAACTGTTAAGATTTGATGTAAACCTTATTTATCTTACACCGATGTAAAAATATTCTGCCCCTATATATATATATATATATATATATATATATATATATATATATATATATACACACACCAGTGTAAGTTACACTCTCAATCTTGACCATTGATCCCACTTATATATCTCAGGGCTCTAATTTTTTTAGTAATGTGAGTCATTGGATACAAGTGGATCAATGATCAAAATTGAATGTAAGACTTCTAACTCTTACACTGGTGTAAGAATATCCCGTCCATGTGTGTGTGTGTGTGTGATTGAATGTAAGACTTCTAACTCATGTGTGATTGAATTCTAACTCTTACACTGGTGTAAGAATATCCCGTGTGGCAAGTTCTTTTTATACCAGTGTAAGACTAACAAGTCTTACACCACATCTCAACCGTCGATAGCAGAAATTATTGGTTGATATTTGTAGTGTAATTAATGATTAATTAATATTAATTAATTCGTATGACTTCCTATATTATAACTGTTGAATGCACGAAAATCAACGGTTGAGATGTGATGTAAGACTTGTTAGTCTTACACTGTTGTAAAATGATCCTGATTATATATATATATATATATATATATAGGGTCAGGATCATTTTACACCAGTGTAAGTTACACTCTTAATCTTGTCCATTGATCGCACTTATATTTAAGGGCTCTAACTTTTTAGTAATGTGAGCCGTTGTATACAAGTGGATCATATATATATATATATATATATATATATATATATATATATATATATATATATAAGGAAGGATCCGTTTACAAACTTACAAATTACACTAAGTATAACCGGTCATACACTCTTGATTGAAGTATGACCACCGGTCATACTTAGTGTAGTTTGTAAATAAAAAGTTTGTAAATATAACATTCTCTTATATATATATAGTTACAATGGATCCGTAATTCAACATCAACACCAATAACACTTTTTTCCTAAATTAGTTGGGGCCAGTGGCACATGAACGAAAAAAAAGTTACGAAAAGATTGAGAAAAATGATAAAAATAAACTTTAAGTATATTATCCATAAAAAGTAGTCCACAATTGCAAGGAAAAATAAGCTAAAATAGAAATAGAAGTAAAGATATATAGGAGGATAGAAAAGAATAAGAATAAAAAGGTAAGAAATAAAAAATATATATATAGAAAAAAAAGAAAAAGAAAACACATAAATAGGTAAAAGAAAGAAGATTGAAAGGAAAAATGAAATAAAAGAAAAGAGGGAGATAAAAAGGAAAATTACTAAAAAAGGATCATCTGGAACATAGGAATAAAAACGGGTCTAACCCTCTACCATGTTTATAGCTTTTCTCCACTCTGTCCTAAGACACATAGTCGCCAATCTATATCTCACTCCATTAGGTTGTTTTACTACCTTCCCCCCAAGTAAGTTTCGATTTACCTCTGTTAGTGTATAATATAAATCATTAAAGAGACCCTCACCTAACAATTTAGGCTTTTGGGTGAATTGGTTCTTTAAATGCTATCAGAGCCTCCCGAGTTTGATCATCTCCGTCCCCCATTTTCTTTGTGGAATTTCTTAGCAGATGTAGGCTGGACTTGATGCATCATCCACATTTCAAGCCCAATTAGCTCTCTTGTGAAGGGTGTTTTAGATTATAATATAAATCATTAAAGAGGCCCTCACCTAAAGCTTAAGCTTTTGGGTGAATTGGTTCTTTACAACCTCTACCTCTCTTTGTGTCAAGCTCTTGGTAACAAACTTTTGTTCTAACGAGAGCATCCAGGAATCTTCTCATTACCTGTCCAAACCACGTCAATCTATGTTCTCTCATCTTTTCTTCCACTGGTACTACACCTACCCTTCGTCGAATATCTTCATTTCTTATCTTATCCTTCCTTGTATAACCACACATCCACCTTAACATCCTTATTTTCGCTACTCCCATTTTATGCTCATGTTGCCTGAGTGCTGGGTAACATTCAGCTCCATATAACGTAGCAGGCCTTACTGCTTTCTATAGAATTTTCCTTTTAGTTTAAGAGGAATTTTGCGGTCACATAACAACCCAGATGCACTACGTCATTTCATTCACCTTGCTTTGGTTTTATGATTTACATCCTCATCAATCTCTCCACCTTTTTTGCAAAATTGATCCCATTTATCTGAAAGCATCTCTCTTCGGTACCTCTTGTCCAAGCAGATGCAAGGAATCTTGATCTCTATCTCTTGCCAGACAAAACTCACTTCATATACTCAATCTTGCTCCAGCTTAACATAAATCATTTAGACTCCAACGTGCTTATCCACAATTCTAGTTTTCTATTAACATTGGTCTTGGTCTCATCAATAAACACAATATCATTTGCAAAAAAATATACACATGGCACTTCCTCTTGAATATCTTTTGTGGGTTTATCCATAACTAAGCCAAAGAGATAAGTACTTAGAACTAAACCTTGGTGTACACCTACCATGATATGGAAATAATTTGATGTTCCACTACAAGCTTTCACACATGCAGTAGCACCATCATACATATTCTTGATTGCATCTACATACTTTGATGGTACTTTTTCTTCTCAAGAACCCATCATAATACTTTTCTTGGAACCCTATCATATGCGTTCTCAAGATCTATAAACACTATATGTAAGTATTTCTTTTTTTCTCGATATCTTTCCATTAATTGTCGCATCAAAAAAATGGCTTCCATGATACATCTTCCTAGCATAAAGCCAAATTGATTTACAAAGACCTTGGTCTCTCTCCTCAAGCGATGTTCAATAACTCTCCCCCACAACTTCATAGTATTACTCATAAGTTTAATGCCTCTATAGTTAGAACAATTATAAATATCTCTCTTATTTTTGTAAATAGGCACAAGCAAATTTTTTCTCCACACATCAAACATCTTATTTGTTTGAAGAATTTATTGAAAAGATTGGTCAGCTATTTTATTGCCATATCCATCAAGCCTCTCAACACTTCAATAGGGACACCATCGGGTCCCAAAGCTTTATTGATCTTCATCCTCTTTAAAGCCTCCTTAACTTCGTATGCTTGGATTCTGCACACAAATCTTCTATTAAAATAAGCATAAACATCCTCCAAGTCCACCTCACTTTTATCACCACCTCCATTAGAAAACTTATTAAAGTAATTTATCCACCCTTTTTTTACCTTTGTATCTCTTACTAGTAGTTTTTGATTTTCATCCTTGATGCATCTTACTTGGGTGAGATCTTTAATTTTCTTATCCCTCATTTTTACAAGTTTATATATATATTTTTCACCACCCTTGCTCCCAAGACTTTTATATAAATATGCAAAAACCTTGCCTCTAACTTCTCACACTACTTTCTTAGCATTTTTTCTTGCCAAACAAAACTTTTGCAAGTTTCCATCATTAGGACTTTCATCCGTAATTATCATTCTTTTTTATAGGTGGACATCGGAGGAAGATGGATACTCTAGTTAATTACATCTAATATTATGACAATTTTATTGCTAAACTGTAACAATGTTTCAAAAGTTAAAAGAAATATCTTCTGCATGTTCTAAAACAAGCACCCTACTACACTCTGTAAAAGTGATGCTGACAAATCTGTAACATTGTAAAATTTCTAAATTCTGAACCTAAGCACAGTTTTCTACTTTGATTGGGTTACAATTGTGTCTAAAACTTCAACAAAAATCTAATCACCGAGTCTTCCATCCCCCTTTCTTTTGGTATACTGGGAGGAGTACTGCGTCCTCTTTGTCACCACTCTCTTCTAGGATGGACAAACATAACCAAAGTTGGTTAATCACCTATGTATGTGTACATGCAAGAGCCTAGGCACAAACAAGGGACCTTCACCATAAAGATCAATCCATTATACTTGGATTCTTTCTTTTTAACAAGAATGCTTTGGAACCACTTACATGCCCTACCAAGCCCTGATATGAAAAGGAGGAAAATCCTCCTCTTTTCAATCCATAATTCTTCCTGCACACTGATCAGGCACAAGAATCAAGGCCCCCTGTAAAAAACCATAAAATTAAGACATCAAAAAACAGTCCAAGTGAATAATAATAATAAAAGAAAACCTAGTGCTATAAAGTTCCAGCTATACACAAGGTTCTGGGAAGGACTAGACTCGTTGTGTGAGTCCATCATAGACAACTTTACCTTGCATTTACAAGACACTAATAACATGAATCGAACCTTGCCCATGTGAAATAATAATAATAATAATTAACATCAACATCAACATCGACAATACCTTCATCCCAAACTAGCTGGGATCGGTGACGGATGAACCCAAATGAAAAATATAATAATAATAAAAATAAAAATAATAAATTTGAAATAAACAAGATGCTAATAAATTTATTCTCCTAACCAAAAGAGGTAGGTAGCATAAGAGAGGGACAACTACCTTGAAACATGGGGTGAAGAGGGTTGGTCTGGTGAGGATCGTTGAGAGCCACCATGAAATCTCTGGTCTTCAAGTGCTCCACCAGACTGATTTCCCTCATTGACACCTGAGAAACCCATTGGTCCCAAAGACCCAAACTCTAGCTGCTCTGCTGGTGAACTGTAGCCAGCATTATGATCATAAGGATACAACATTACAAGAGATGGAATTGTTGGCCCATTTGATGAGACCCCACTGGGGTTCATGCCTGGTATGGAGTACATTCCATAAGCTACATTGGTAGGATTGTTCTGTGAAGAATTTGCACGCACTGGCCCATTCTGGTGAGAATTGAAGGACTCTTGTCTATGTGAACCCCACGGTCTCTCAGCATGGCTCTCACTAGTTGCCAACCGCTCTGGCCTTGAGCCAGGCTTCTCAGTTTGGTTGCGATTATGGCCACGCCCAGTTGCTCGCAACTTTGAGTTCATGTTCCAATTTCCTTCTCTATCACCATGGTGGTCGTTTCTATCGTAGTTGTAATTTCCCCTTCTGGTATTAGTGGAATGTCGATCCCGAGCAGAAACCTTCTGAAATAAAATAAAAAAAGAAGGTAAAATACCATAACGAAAACAGCAGTACAATAGAGCAGACTGAAAATGGATTCTGAAATGGAAACACTTTTTTATTTTGATACACATGTTGTAAGAAGCAAAAAGTACCAAAGTTTCTTAGAAATTAATCATACCGGATTTGGCAGGTAGGTTCCAGTCCCACTTCGATACCGCGGCATATCATCTGCAAAACGTTGGTAAATATTGGTAGGTCTATTAGAAACAGACTGGAGAGGTGCAACAGGAACTAGACGCGGGCCACAGCTCATAAGCTGAGTGAAAAGATTCATGTTAGTTGAAAGAGGTCTTCCAGGACCATCCCAAGGATAACGACCCTGCAAATAAACAGGAGGTACCATTACAGGTGAAGGATAGACCATTGAAGGAGGATGACGCGAGTTTTGACAAAATCGCCCATATTGCAAATTCTGCCAGTGGCTAACAAAGTCACTATTAAGAATGTCAGGCTTGTGCTCTGATGACTCAATAGCAGCCCTTGCCATAGAATTAGATGGGCTTGGTACCTCAAGCTGTTCGTATCCCTCAGATGAATCATAATTCTGACCAGAATCACTGTTATCTTCCCCTTCTTCCACATTGAAGTTGCTTGTCGATGTGTCAGAAGACTCGGTTGGAAAATTATAAAAAGGAAGCATTGTAACAAAGGGTACTGGTGGCCCTGTAGGATAGAATGCGAATTGAACAACCCCAGAATTATCAATTGCCCGTTGACGAGAACCGGGACCTAAAAGCACGGGCGCTATGGGTAATGGAGAATCTGATCCACTTGTCTGAGGGGCTTCAAAACCAGATTTTTGATGCCTTGGGATTTGCAGGGAAGTTACAGTTGGGGGCACAGTGCTTCTTTCAGACATATCAGATGCCATAGTCGACAAAGGAGTCCACTCTCTGTTTTCATCATCTATTCGATTGGATAAAATTTCTGAATTTTTACCCTTCCCGTAAACAGCAGATGGTACCGAGAGAGTATTTTTCCTCCCCCTCTTTTCCCTTGTTGATTTTGAGGATTTGGCTGACGATCCTTCCCAAGAGCTTTCAGAAGAGGTCTTACTCCTGAAGGAGCTTGAAGGTGGTGCACTGGGCAACTCAGAATTAGCTATTCTATCATCAAAATAAACCTCATTTCTTTGGCCATCTTGATAATGAAAATTATCAATATGCTCTTCTCTTGTTGATCCTCGGTTTTCTTTAGTAAACTTCTGCTGAATTCTGGGGGAACTACTCGAGCTGCCTACCCGAGATGATGAGACAAAGTTATAACTACCAGAAGTTGACTGTTGTTTATCATCCGGAAGCATTTCAAAATTTCCGTTACCAACTTCAACCCCACTAGCAGAACCTCTTTCCTGATCATGCCAGAAATCATTCTCAGTTTCTGCAAAATTCTCATTGCCGGTTTCCATTAAATCTTGAGGATTTGAGGTTAATCCTATGCCAGGGAAATATGGAGTCAATGGTGAAGGGACTAGACCTTGAGGAAATTGCATATTTGTACCCCAAGGAGCCTCAATAAAGGGAATATTACCCACATTTCTCTGAGCATATCCCATTGATGCAAGAATGGAGGGTGGAAAGGGAAATGGTAGGTGACCTGGAGCTAAATTCATTGGAACCTGAGCCTGACCACTGAAACCTTGAGCTGTGGGAGATGTCATCATATTCAAAAGGTCTTGCTCCTCCTGATGCATCATCTGAATTCCAACAGCTCCTGCAACAGATGCAAACTCTTCACTCACAATCCCTGAGCCTGATTCATCATGATAACTGTTTGAATGAGCGGTACTACCAAGAACTTCCCGAGATGAGATGTGCCTAGCAGATGAGTCATCAATTTTTGCAGCCACATCAGGTTGAAGATTCTTCCTGCGACTATTCTCCAACTTTGCAAAGGAATTCTGGCCTTTACCACTTTCTGCTGCTTTTGCACGCCTTCCTTGGGAAGAAACTTCACCATACGAGTCAGTCAGCTCAGGGCTAGATCGTGTCCTGGCAAAAAGAAACCGTCCCTGAACATCATTCACTGGGTAATCCGCTTTAACTTTTCTCTGACCTTTGTCAACATGAGCACCTTCATTAGAATTAGTTTCCCTTCGGACTTGATCAAAGGTCCTAGAATTATTATGGTTTCCATAACTCTTTTGAGTCTGAGTACGTGACACTGTAGAAACATCACTAAATTTGGATGAGTTTTCAGATGACAAATTACTACGTTGAGATAGGCCACTTTGTGGAACATGTTCCCCTTCAAAATGAAATTCATGATTGGAGGTAATATCAATTTTATGGTTATTGTTCTGGAGATTCTCAGACCTCTGTGATTGGTCATGATTCGATAACCTCAATCGCCATAAGTCATTGCTTGGAACATCAGGTCGTTGCCCACTTCCATGTCTATCCCAAGTGTTCAAAAAGAACTGATTGACTTCAACAAACAATTCCTCCTCTGGACAATCAAGTAATCTAGCCAGCTTTTTAGCCCCAAATGCAAAGGCACTGCGTATCCTAAAGAAATTACCTGATTCACGTATATCATATATGCAAATATTAGCCGTGACCAAAAAAGACAGATAGATTAAAAATAGTTAAGGAAACTAAAAACCCACTGATACAAAACAAGTTTAATTCCAGTAGGATGCATAAAATTTGCCATACTTTCATCATTTGTTCTGATTAGATAAAGATTTGAAGGTTCATTTTGTTCAATTTTCAAATCCCAGATGGGCACCAAAAATTACTGGAAACCATCAACATATACAACACTAATCTCCAATAATAAGTCCAGATTTCCATATTACCACTTACGGAAATAAAGAACAAATGAGAATGGCTCCAAAGACATATAGATTAAAGTAAACTACCAAAGTCATGTAGGGATACATGGCTGGTCATCATGAAAATGATGAAACATGTTTGAATATCTGCTTATAAGTTTTATTCATTCTTCATTACATATCTATTGCATAAATTTCAGAATGACAGGAAAAAACGAGAGACTAAACTACAGCAGAAATAGACATGCTTGCTAATTGAAAGATGGCAGAAATAGTACATAGCTCTGATATATCTTTTCTTAAATCTTTCAACTTTACAACTTTAAAAAGTTCATCTTGAACAACTGCTACAATTGTCAAATTAAAAACTAGCAGCAGGGACAGATCCATACAAAACGAACTCAGTCCAAATTATAATCTGACAAGTCGTGACACAGATACATAAAATGAGCCAAATCCAAATTTTTAGCGACCAACACACCTTTGCTAACACTACGGCCAAGGTTATTGTTGACACGTAAAGGATCGATAACATTGAAATGCTTGGAAACAAAGGGTTGTCCCTGATTTTCTTGGCCACCAGGACAAACAGCATAAACTGAGGTACAGGCATCAAGAAATAATTTGCTGAGCAGTAAATCCCCACCATCTTTTCGAGGAGGTTCAGCTGTGGAAAATGTAAGGGAAGAAGAAGAACAATCAATAAGCAAGATGGACCTAAATAAATAAAGGCAAAGGAATCTTCAAATCGAATGTAACTACCTGTCACATCTGGGAGTGAACTAATGGGTACTGGACCCCATAGACTTACGCAGAAATTTTCCCAGTCAAACTTACTAAAAAACTCCAAAAATCGATACAATACCTACATAAGCAAAGACAATACCATGAAAAATCAATCATCAAAAACACTAAAATAAAAGAAAGCCATGTGATTTCTGCTACCTCAAGTGGTCCAGCAAAGGAATTGTTGAAAACATGAAATATGTAAAGAACCAAGGTTTCTAATGCATAAGTTGAGATAAGTCCATGGTGGGCACCAAGTATTCGGCTCTCATAGTAACACCAAGCTTTTATCAGTATAATGCTACGCTTGAATAAATGATTTTGGTTAATCAGATTATCAACCTACAGCAGTAAATTCAAGTTCTTGTAAATCCAATAAAAAATAGTATCAAGGTCAAATTTTCAAAGAATATGATACAGTGAGGCTTCTGGGATCAACCAAACTACCTCCTCAAGAAAACAAAGGGTACACAACCCTCCAAGCTGGTTGAATGAAATGTCTACTACAATATTCTCAACAAGACACTTTATAATCTTCACCTGCAAATGTGAAGGGAAACAATGTAAAATGCTAATTCTATAATTCCAATAGAACACCAAAAAATAAATAAATAAAATAACAAAAAGCCGTTCTTGGACAAGCTAAATAAAGCCAGACAATTAGCAACAATTATAACTGTAGAAACAAATAGCTAGTCCATAAACATTTTAGAATTTTGAGTACTTTAAAATGCATAACCATACTTAACCAACAACTCCGAAGTATTAAATATGGATACTGCAAATAATCACATACAATTTGTGTTTCTCAAGCTAGCAATAGTTTAACTGGTATTTGTTCTTTCACAAGAGCTGATACAACCTAAAAATTGTGTTTCGCGGCTATCAATGTATAGCAATACCACTTCATAAAGATCTATAACTTCCATATACATAATCAGCCATATCATGAACTTAAGCTTCCACAATAATCTCACATAAAAACTTAAAAGAAAGTCATATGCACTAATAATACCCACCTATCACATAAGTCAAATCATGAGGAGAAAGCAAGCAGAGGAAGAATCACAAGATGGTATGATGTTTTGTCATCCGACTTTTGAGTCTCTGATATGATCATATGAATGATGTACCATTGATATTATTAGAAGTTCAATAATCTAGTATATAACTCTCACTCTGTGTTGGCAACTACAAAATTATTCCTCTTATTATCAAGAAATTCCTTTTATTATGCAATTAACACTTCATAATAATCGATCACTTTCATATGCATAATCAGGCATACCTATGAACTAAAGTTTCCACAATAATGTCACGACTGCAAAAAAAAAAAGCCATATGCACTAACAATACCCACCTATCAAATAGGTAAATTCATGAGGAGAAAGCAAGCAGAGGAAGAATCACAAAATGTTATAATGTTTTGTCATCCACATTTTGACTCTCACATAATGAATGATGCACCATTGATATTATTGAAGTTCAATTATCTAGTACATAACATTCACTCCGTATTGACAAATACAAAATTATTCCTCTTATTATCAAGAAATTCATCACGTACTTCCCCATGACATTTTAGCTAGAGATCAACAAACCAATTCTCTTTTCTTAAATGAAGGAAAGATTGCACATCGAAAGGTTTCATCCTCATTGAGCGTGTCAATGCAGAGTAGCACAAGACTTCAAAATAAACTTGAGAAGATTCCAAACTTAAGCATGGCAATAAGATCTCAACCAAAGTGAGAAAACAAATAATATTGGCAAATTAGATGATTAATCAACACTGCAAGTATAGAGTCAGAGTTTAACAATTTTAAGATGCTGTGTTATCAGAGAACCTACTTCAGCCTGGATGTACTGAACCTCCTTGACATGAAACTCTGCATTCTCATTCTTCTCCTCATTCTCCAGCATGTCACGAACCTGATGTGCCCATGTATCCTTCAGAGTTTGATTCTCACTGAATGAAGTTAAGTCGATATCTCCATCAGGCAAATAAGTTTTGAGGGGTACCGACCCAAACGTGAACACCTGTAAACATAAACAATCATTTACAGAATAATGTGCAGATAAAACTAAAAGTTAAAAATCATAAACCACTGCACTAAAAGGGCATGACAAAAAATAATTCACTACACGGGCAACATAATTTCACTACCAAAACCACGATTTGATATTCCTCCACTACAACACATCATATGTGCAACTTCTAACCACAAATTAGAATTTCTGACTTAGCTGCTGCTCAGTTTAAAGACTAGTAACAGCATAATAGTGTTGATACATGCTTACATCCTTCAATAATGATACCGAGATTGGTCATAACAACCTTCAATAATTAAAATATCATATCATAATTATAGGTAAAATAATGCATGATTAACTAATCAAAAGCTCTTAAGCAACAAATACTCCACAATCTTAACACAACACACCCACCTTGCAAGAGAAGCATTTCATGATCAGCCGCTGGACATAGTCTGCAACTGCATTTCGGCGCTCCTCGGATGGCGAATTAGGCTGAATGCAGGCAATCAGCTCTGCAGTCCTTTGTTCAGCCTTCAACCATCGCTCTGAGTCAAGCACCTGTATTACAGAGGCAGCTTCATTGGGCAACAAGCCATTCGGCAATAGTGCCCTTGGTGGCTGTGCCCACCCCTCATGTTCTCCCATGCAAGCCTATTTTTTTTTCTCTTCCAACCCTCCCAAGTAAACCTACCAACCCAACCCAAGACACCACCACCTAAGCTTCTTCCAGATAACCCAACTACCAATGTTGAAATTGAAACTAGCAAAAGCAACACACAAGAAAAGCTTGCAGCAGTAGCTATTATCTTAATGCCTTCCCCCAACCTTTTGAAGGGAAAGTTTTTTTTTTTTTCCAGTGCACAACAAACAAACCAAGATAGGACTTTATTCCCTCTGCAGTTCAAAAATTAAACCAGAAAAAAAGAGAGTCAAATTCCACTAAACCAATTCTCGGTGTTTTCCAAAAATAACACAAACACATAGAACCCCACAATTTCAGAGTGCCCACCTACTACAAAAACGAATCCCCAAAAGTGAAAAAAAAAACAAGATTATGCAAAAAAATAAAAGACCCAATGAATCAAAGCAATAAAAAAGTTGCTTTTCAATAATAAGAGAAGAGCTTAGATGATTAAAACCCTAATGGAAAAGGGTAAATCCCAACACAGTTGGAGTGTGGGGGCGAATCAATAGCGTAGTGGGCAAAAACAGAAATGCGTAGAAGAGATGGTGGGCATCAATTATAAGGGGAAAGAAGAGTTGGGGTCCGATCAAAAAATGGTCTTGGTGTAGATAGAGAAAGGGTTCAAAACGAGGTGTGGTTGTTGTCTGTGAAACATGAAATGAATATTAGGGATTGAAAAGTATGCTAGAAAAAGAGAAAAAGAGGGTTCGGCGTTTTGAGAGGAGGGTGTTGTGTTGTTAATATTATGTGCATTTAAGGGGGTTTTGTTATGCAAAAATTTATTGGCAAACTGAGGGTGATAATAGAATCTTGTAAAAGATAGGAAAGGAAAAAAAGAAGCACAGGGAAAGAAAGGAACAGGGAAGAAATATTAAATTCATTACATAATTTGCGCCTTTTCTCTAATTGGGCTTTGTTGTTGTCACCTGATCAAATGGCCCATTAGAAAAGCCCAGAACATCTTATCTTCCTATGAAATGTGGACTCTTATTTTTGTTTTTGGGCTATATGTCTTATGTGGTTTCTTCATAAAAACCAGTTTATAAGAACAATATGAGGAAAAATAGCAAACTCTATTTTCATAAATATTTATAAATTTTCATAAGACTCCACCTATTTAATATATATAAAGAGAGGTAGATGCAACCCTCAAGATATAGCTCATTTGATAAGTGGACTGTAGCTCAAAGATCGAATCCCTGTGACTGATGAAGTGATGGATTCAATTCCTACGAAAAATATTTTGGGGTCAGCGATGAAAAAATCGTTATGCTCCAGCCAAAATTGTTATGCTCCAGGCCACAAAGGAATTAGTCTCGTCCTTAGGGGTGGGGACACCCTAAGTTTACTAAAAAAAAAAAATGAAAAGAAAGAGAGGCAGACACAATTTTCACACGACGAATGGGTAAAATTTTAACATAGTACATTTCTAAAATGGGAAAGGTGGTGCTAGTATTAAAGAATAGAAAGAAATTGCACCACTAGGATTAGCCTAGTGGTGTTGGGTGTGTGTAGTGTGTATTAGGTTGCAAGTTTGATTCCTGTAATATTCAAAAAAAAAAGAAAAAGAAAATTGAGAAAGTAAGGAGGACGAGATTGGATCCGGGCAAGGATGTAAATGAGGAGGGTGTTAATTTAATTGATGAATACGATGATACTGATACATTGTAATTTGCATGTTTGATTGCAAAGTATGTATGACTTTTGCTTTTGTGCATGAGCATGAGGTTGACTTAGGTTAAAACTTGCCTAGTGCTATTTTTTGTAATTTATTTCCTTCTAACATTTTCTTCTCTTTTTTTTTTTTTTTTGAAATACATTTTCTTCTCTTTTTTTGTGTAGGTGAAACGTTTTTTTTTTTTTTTGGCCAGCATCATGCAAAGAATAAGATGGTTACTGAGAGTAAATTATGTCACTTGATATTTAATGCATACATGGATATGTTTGCTTAGTGAATGTTATCTTTCTCATTTTAATTTCGTGTGGCAAAGAAACCCCATGCAGTAACATAATAAGATTCATAACATAGAGGTTTGGGCATTGGGATTAGGTCTTGTTCGTACCATTGCATTTCTTTGAGTAACAGATCCAAAAACATCTATCGGTGAGAGGAATCTACCAATTTGTACTTTGCACCATCTTAATAGTACATGTGGCGTAGGGAAGTTATACTTGCAATGATAAGAATTTAATTTATATATCTAATATAATTTTTTTTTTAAGGTTATACTTGATATGAAAGTTTTTTTAAAGCCTTAATCTTATTTTAAAAATTATTTAAAGATATACTTTGCAATAACTTTTTAAATGAACAAACAAGCCCACTTTTAACATAATTTATCAGAACTTAAAATAAGTTAATGAGTCAAAGTTCTTATTGGGCCTAAACATTTAAATAAACAAACAAGTCATAATTACCTTTATTATTTAATTAAATAAACTTTTTTTTTTTTATAAATCACATATATCCTTCGTGAAAGGCAATCATATTTGAGCTGTGAACATCCACATCAAGATGAGGATTAAACTAGTTTGCTAAACTTAAAAAATAAAATAAAATTGATGGCCTGAAAACTGTTTTTTTTTTAACTAAATAAGCTTAAAAATATATTAACTTTACCAATATACTAAACAAGTGACCTAATATGAATAAGGTTGTATGTTCCTAGTTAGTCGTTTCATATATTGTCATCCTTATTAGGGAGAACCGAGAGAGATAAGTTTTTTTTTTTTGTTGGTAAATTGAGAGATGAGTTGTTTACTAGTCTTTTGATAAACATGTTAGAATAGATAATATATAATATTATATAAATTTTATTTCGTTTGATATATTTTTTAAAATAAGACATATAATTAGAAAATGAAACATTTTAATTCTAATAAAGAACATTCTAACCATAAAAAAAAACATTTTATCAGCATATGCATAATAGTTATTTTGTTCTCTAACATCATTTCTGGAGTGGAATCATTGTTTTTGACTTTTATGATTAGGAAGAGTTTATGAGAAAAAATATATTGTTTTTAATTATCATTATTTGACTTAAAAAAATATTTTTGGCGACATATACAATAAAAGAGTAAGATAGCACAAGCACCGTTGAAGGAGGAAGAAAACGAAAGAGGAAGCGATGTGGTCACACTTTAGATACCAAGCATAAGAATAGTGTTCGATTAATTACAGCTTTGCCACTAATGAAATACCTCTTCTCGGTGTTTTTGATATTTTCAGAACAAAAAGTAAAAAACTAAAACAAAAACACCTTGAGGGGGTGTTTGGTTCAGGAATTTTTTTTTGAAATAGTAGGAAAATGAGATAGATAGAGAAATGATTGGAAAGATAGATAAAGTGAGATAGGTAGAGAAATGTAAAAAAAAGTTGTTTGGTGGAAAAAAACTTTACTGGGAAAATTAGATAACTTTATGAAATCAACAGTGCATTAAAAGTCAGATAACCGGTTTTCCGAAAAATCTCACCTTCAAATTGGGTTTCTAAATAGTGCGGATATCTATGTTTCTCATAAATTCAGACAAATTGGATAGATGAGTTTTTGGTGAAAAACGTTGAAACAAACATGTGTTTCTAAAAGCCATACTTGAGAAACATAGATATCCGCTGAAAAGCTCCCAACCAAACACCACCTAAAGGTGTTCTGTAATTTCTGTTTTAAAAATTAAAATTTAAAAACTGTTTTTAAATTTTTTTACACAAAACAGTAAGCAAGTATCAATCATGTTTTTTGTTTTTAAAATTAGAAAACTGTTTTACAAAACTGAAATTAATCAGGCCCTATATCTCCACTCTCAAGAGACCAATGTTTTTTGGGTAAGGATTTGTTTTGTTTTTATTTTTGGGATTGGACTTTTAATGGGCCCTACGTTGGCCTTCTATTATAATTTGGATCAGCATTTGACTACTTTGATGCCTTGGGTTTAATGCAAGCCCATCTTTATGGTCTGAAAACTTGGGTCCTAATGTAACATCTTTCAGTTTTGTACCAACTTATGGCTGTCACTTATAAAAAAAAATTTGTTTTTCTTATGTTGCATAATACACATACAAATTTTAGGTGGGATCTATTTTAAATTTTTTTTCTTTTCCCGATTCTCTCTCCTATCTCTTCCATTTGTTTTGAGTATACGACGTGCTTCAATTTCATAACTTGCATCAAAACAACCGTTACTTACATGTGAGATCATCTAGAATAGAATGAAGCTTAATTATTCTCATTCAGATATGATTAACCGAAATCAAATTAGGCATAAATATAAATCATCACAATGTAAGCACTCCATGATGTATCAACATGTATGCATAGAATCATGTTGTATTTTTAAAGAGAAAAAGTACAAACCACATCAGAACATGCAATGCGTAATTATCTTCATATCTTTCATCCAATTATGAATGATAACATGCATGGTCTAGAAATTGAATGCTGTAATATATGGAAAACAAGGTTAACCTAAATGCATGAGCGCAATATCTTGGTTAGCAACACTTGCCACTATACTCAGAAGATTAGTCTCATAGCAATGCTTATAGAGATAAAAATCCAGTAAATGAAGGTATATATACATTAATAAGCACATCATAGATAGTGTTATATATCATCTCAGTGCATGTTAAATTTTATTTTATTTTTATCATGAAAACAATGGCGGAGTTAGAATTTTTTTTGAAGGAGAACGAAATTATGATGTAAATTTTTTCTTTAAAGTTATAATTATTTATATGACAAAAAAATAGAAATAATATTTACACTTAAAGGTTTTTGTAAATTTTGAAGAGGGACGAGCATTAGATATATGAGTGAGGATATTTTAACTACCAAAAATTCTCACTACTAACTTATTACCCATCACATCACCATTGGATCAAAGAGAAAGAATGTTAAAAAGCTTTTGAATAGAGAGAAAATATTAATCTAATGGTGATTAGATAGGTAGTAAGTTGGTAGTGAAAAAATTTGGTAGTAAAAATATACCTCCTCTAGATATATAACCAAAAAATTAGAAGAAAAAAACCTTATAAAAATTTATAGGGAGACCTTTAATGCTCGGCCGCTAGTCCCTCCCTATAGCTCCACCATTACATGAAGGCCAATACCTAGATTGATGTATTCTATGTACGAAGGACAATGTGATCAACATCCAACACACCAATTAATAGCTAAGATTTAATAGTAATATTTTGTTCTTGGCAAAAGCAACCTCTATAAAAGCATCAGTAAACAAGTTGGTTATGCTAGAGAACGAACTTGATGTATTCTCCAATAGCAAAACTACTGCTCTTCTCAATGAAGCATATCCACCAAGTGGAAAACATTGCCACGCCAGAAAGATTCTATAACGAGAGAATAACGCAACCTTTGGGTAATTTACAAATTAAAGAAATCTTCCACATACGAAAAGGATCTAGATGATGTTGCTTTCCCCCTCCTCTTTCAACATCTTTAACTTCCTTCCCTTTACGTACCTATTTTTTTACTCCTTTTGAAATCATAATCAATGATTATTTTTTGCTTTTACCCTATCCGTTTCAGTGTGTTCATAGGTAGAATTAACATAAAGAAAGTTGATAAACTTTTTTCATGATAGGACAAATCCCGTATCCTTCCACTTACGAGAGTAAGTGTGAGATTGTATGTAATTTTATTATTATATTTTTTGTAAAAATATTATTTCCTAAATTCGAACACATGATATTTCATAGCAAGCAATCTTATCACTTAAAAATAATAATTCAAGTAAAAAAATTATATAATTAAGCAATTCACATTCAGTTATTTTTCCCTTGTATATAAACAC